GAAGATGGGAAAGGGCGATATGATTATGCTTTACAGGTTAGGTAATGATAACAAGTGAATGAGTGAAGTTAGGTAATGATAAGGAGTGAATGAGTGATGTTAGGAATGATAACGAGTGAATGAGTGAAGTTAGGTAATGATAACATTGTAATTTTGAACACAAGCACAGCGAGGTGACACAATAAACAGTTGAAAGTAAAAAGATGTAAAAAAGTATAATTTTTTCGAACTGAACTATTTGAATATGATGCAATTTCCCACATAATGCGTGTGCCAAAAATGTGCATCAATTTAAAGTCATGAAACAATTTGGTAAGAACACACAGGCAAAGGCACACGCACTCACGCAAGCACGCAACCCCCCCCCCCTCTCTCTCTCTCTCTCTCTCACACACACACACACACACACACACACACACACACACACACACACTCACACACACACACACACACACACACACACACACACACACACACACACACACACACACGCACGCACGCACACACGCACGCACGCACTCTCTCTCACACACACACACACACACACACACACACACACACACACACACACACACACACACACACACACACACACACACACACACATACACGCACGCACGCACGCACTCTCTCTCTCTCACACACACACACACACACACACACACAAAAGAAAAGAATTGAAGAAAAAACTTTTGACAATGGACAAAAAACTCAATTGTTGCTCAATATCAATCAATCAACGGGGGCGTATAGCCGCATCACCCCTTCCTTTCCATCCACGGGGTTCCTCATGGCGAGCGTCCAAGCAGGCTCTCAGCCCATCTCTAAGCTCCTTGCGATAGGTCTGGTCGAGCTGCCCAAGCTACAACTTCCTAGGTCGTCCCATGGACCTCCTCCACCCAGAATTAGTTCGTGAAGAGACAGCCTGATAGGCAGGTTCACCCACAAGGAAACAAGCTTGGTACTCATATAGCCTGAGTTGGTGGTCCAGGATTATGCAAGTAACAGGTGTACCCGTCGGTTGGACACATGGTCCTGCCAACTGTACCCCATGATCCGCCACAGGAACTTGTTGCAAAAGGTATTAAGACGAGACTCCAAGGCATTTAGACAGTGTGCAGGTTTCGCTTCCATACAGGCCTTAAAGACAGGTAGCTTGGTCCTTCTGCATAGGTACGACCTTTCTAAATGTTGTTGTTGACCGATTTCATGGCTCCTGCTGCCAGACCAATCCGTCTACTGACCCCTTTATGACAGCCCAGAGACATGGACTGCGCTACCAAGGTATGTAAAGCTCTCTGTAACTTCAGTAACCTTACCATAAGCATATATCTACTGAACAGGTTCCTCTAGCAGTCCCCCCCAAAAAAAAATTCTGGATCTAGGCCCAAGGGTTTCACTCACTGATGAATGCATCAAGAGCTGCTACCAGAGATTTCAGATAGGATGGCAACATCCTCAGTAGTCAGTCTGTGACCTTGAAATTGCCCAGTATTGTTTCACAGTAACTGTATAGTGGCTCTATCCATTATACAGTCCATGCAACTGTTGAAAAGTGTTGTTGCAAGGACACAGTCTTGCCTCACTCAGGGAAGAAGCTCGACAGACCCCCACATTTTACAACACTTTCAGTACTGGTATATAGACTTGCAATTAAACCAATAATTTGTGTCAGAGTTCCCCTAAGTCTCTGGATATCCAATACAATTTGCAATGCACCGAGTCAAATGCCTTCTTGAGGTTGATGTAGACTGCAAGCAGCCCACGACCAAACTCATGATACTGTTTCACATGACTTGAAACACTAGGATGCAGACTTGTGAATCCATACTGCTCCAGTGTCTTATGCCTTAGATGGTCATGGATCCGTTTTAGAATAATGTGCAAAAACCTTGCCTAGTATACTGAGCGCATTGTTTTATTACATTTATTAAAATAATTAATATTGAAGATTTTCCCTTTAGTGACTAGTCTGTAAATCCTGATATGTTATCACAATTGCTGTAGGGTGATTCAGATATCATCTGTGTAGAGATGGTGTAAATGTTATAACCCAAGGTAATATATGCTATACAAATTTAGTCTATATATATATATTTTTTTTAAGTGTGAATTAGATAAGCATTGTGTAATCAATCATAAAAGTGAAACATCAATTGTAACTTTTATTTTTCTCATAAGTCATCTGTTTCCATTCTCTTTGGTTGCATTACAAACATTAGGTAACAACAAATCATAATATTTAGAAAAAGTCTTAGGATATCATATTCAGTATCATATATATGGTTTATTTTTCTTATAATTATACATACAGGATACCAAATATACATGTGCAACACAACAAGAAACAAGTACCATTTTTTTTAATAACTACTCGACCTCAAGAGGCGAAGTAAACCGTCTCACAGTGGCACTCTTGCTGCAAAACTTGTTATAATCGATTCGCATAATCAGCTGTGAGGTGTACTGTGACCCCTGATGGAGCTTGAGGTTGGAGAGGATCAAGAAGAGCTGAGCAGCGGCACGTTCGAAGGCTTCGCTGAACTCCTTAGTCTGTTTTGCCCTGTCAGTCATGGACGTCTGCTCTGAGCTGGTGGTAGAGTCAAAGCGGGGAACTCTTTTGCTGTCGCTGTTCCATGTGGTTTCCA